ACAGCATTACAGCAACAGGACGCATTCGGCGGTAATAGTTTGGTTTCGTTTGAGTTTATATTGATCTGAAATTTTCTGCCAACCATTTATGTGATTTCTAAAATAAAATTTAAAATCCCGATCCCACCGACAATTACTATTTCGCATTTAGTGTATTAAGAAAGATTTGTTGCAAGGCGACCATAATCTTCCTATTTATTTCAATTTTGTTAGAGGTTTCCTGTCTCTTTATAAAATTTCCCCTACTCATAGAATATTACGTGTTAGATTTTATGCTTGAATGCGCTGTTGATTTTTTTAATGGAAATTGTAAACACACGCCTTAGTATGCAATGATCCCATACTTATTGCAAGCAGGTAGCTGATGAGAATTTTTTAAAACTAAGTAAATAAACAAGTAACAAACAATAGCCGGGCAAGGCCGATATTTTAGATAGCCTACACCAGTTCGCTTAATCAATTAAGTTTTCTCCGATTCGAAACATTTTTAATACCGTTATAATATACCTTTGTATCATAAGTGGTGTAGAGTATAAAAATGTTAAAACTACCTTGTATGAAGCACAATAAATATTGCATGGGATTCGAAATCGTAGTCATTTGCACCTATCGGGAAACTTATGTAGATAATTATTCTATCGCATTTGCACATAATTTAACTCTGATATTCCTTTAAGTAGATGCAGGAGGGTATTCACCGATTGAAAATTGTTTTTGCTTAGCTTTTTGAAGATTTGCTAAATTCCTAAAATGATTTCTACAATGGACCCTTAATATTCCCGCCTTTTCTTTTTTGCACGCAGTCATTGTCTACGTTACTACTCTTGTTATCAAGCCTTTACTAACAGCTAATACCATCAATAGTTTTTTTTCTTTTGGGAGTACATTCATACTGTTTTTTTACAATATATGTAACACCCAAAAGGAAGCTTCACACACCCTATAAATTATATATATATATTTATGATCAACGTGATAGGTTGATTTGATTTAGCCATGTCTGTCTGTCTGTCTCACTGTGTGCTCGTAGTGATTAAATTTTATTTTTTCTCTTTTTTGAGGTTGTATGCTTATTGATCATAACGCTAACAAGATAACATGTTTAAAACTATTTTGTACATCCCTTTAAAGAAGATATATTATCCGTTTACGAATGGATTAATTCTAAAATGAATATGGTAGACACCGCGATTAATTTTTCCTTAACAATACCGGCGATATAGGTATCAAATAAAAGAACTTGGAAAGTAGAATGCGAAGAGCGTAGCGGTGAGTATACGAGATTCGGACCCCGCCGCATAAAACTTTCTTACTTGTTAAAATTGAAACCGAAAATTGCTTCCTTCAAATCTATTTGAAAGGTGCTTAGAGGAAATTAAATGCTTCATTGCGAATAGCTTTACACACTGTTTTTCACGTTTTTGTCCCGAACATTAAATGCCAAAATTAATCGCACTTAATCGTATTTCATTAATATCGTGTGGAACTCCGCGCATTTGTCTTCGTTCTTAAGTTAAACAAATGCTTATTTTGACAGGATTGAAGGTTGACATACTGCCAAGTTGGATATATTTTCGCTTATTTGCCTTGTTTGTACATTTTGGTATTTATTATAAGTGAGCAAATATGTTTGTATCGCAGAATTAGTCAATTCTTCTGAGTGCATCGTAAAGCCCCGCGTTTTCAATAGAAATCTTTTAAGCCGGTCCTCAGTAAGCCGATGCTTATGAAATTTTGCACAACCTTTTGCAAGGTTTCTAAAAACGTTTCCTGCAAAGACAGAATAGGCGCTTTCAGCCGCTTTCGCAAAAATCTTCTCTAATACTACTGTTATTATTCTTCAATCATGTGGCGACGTGGATATTAGACTTTCCACTATATAAACGAAAAAAATGTTTTTGAAAGTTCTTTGCTTGTAGTAATGGATCGGTCGTTTGCATATTCACTTTAGAAGAATTTTACAAAATCACTGAGCCATTACTTTAAACCTATGTACAAGAATTGGATATTCTGCTAGTTGTGGATTTGTCAGCCTGGAAATCTCGACTGCTTTGATTTGGAACTTTCAGATAACTTATTTAAGTATTTAAGGATGTTCATTGTGTACATATATATATGTATATATACTGGCTTCTAAATATATATTTTCGAACTTATCAGAATCTATTTTTAAACTTGACTTGACTACTATGCACATAAGGGCAAGTGGGCAAATATTTCTTCATTCAGTATTATTACCCTACCAAAGAATATATATTTTGCCGGTTTAATACTACGCATAGGATGACGAAACAAGTGCAGAGACGGAATGTGGTAGAAGAGAGTAGTACATGTTCATAATTTTTTCTAGTTTTAACTAATTTAAAATTACTTATCTTGCTCCTTAAGAAGGTCCACAAAAAAGTATTTTTACTTACTTTAATACGCGGATCCAGATC